GGCTCGGGGTCTGGCTTGGGAGTTATCGGGTTTGTTTTCAAAGTACTTTTTCTTTTCGGGGGGTTCTGGGCTTTGGGCTCGGGGCAGTAGGACATAGGCCTTCGTGTTTGTGTGTGTGTGTGGGTACACATGCTAAGGTAGACTCGGTAGCAGAGATACACATATTATTTTAGCTGTTCCTCCCTCCCTCGTGCCATCGGATCTAACAGAGAATCATGCGAAGCTCTGCAACTGTGCACACCCTGATCTTCAACTGCATTTTTCTCTGCTCTCTGAGCTTTAATTCGTCCCATATATAGACATGGGAAAGATCGAGCGATTGGCCTCGAGCTCGGGCCGTTGGAACAGCCAGCTGAGCTCTATACAGTCCAAATTAACAAAATCAAAACCTGCATCCACCGAGGCGATGATGTAGCATCTCATTTTACCTCGGAAAATAAACCACTTCCACCACCAAATGTCCTTGCCATCGGGCCCTGGCGTCACCATCCAGCACCACCGCCACCTGCTTTGGCGGGGCGGGCTGCGACTGCGGTCAGTAGCATCTCGATTTCCAGCTGCACCTCGCTCCAGATCTGAGCTCGGGTTTTCATCACCTTCACGAAGTCCTCCCGATCGAACAGGCGTCCTTGAGCGTCGCCTTGCCATTGATGCAGCTGAGAACACAAGGGGTGGTGCTGCAAGCTAAAATTGCTGCGAGACAGAGCGAGAGAAGATACTGCCGACAAAATCTCTGCAGACATGCTGTCCATTTCATGACTAACATGTGTATATACATTTACTGTCGCAGGTATCAACCCGGTGATCTGAGACTGCAGCCCAAGGGCCGGCAAACTACACCCTCGCCGCCCTACCTTGAGCCAATGCATGCAGGCAGCAGTGCTGCTCCGGCAAGCTTCACATCTGCAGGCAACAGTGCTGCTCCGGAAAGCAGGATTTCGCAGGCTGTGCATGCAATGTCACCTCAGCTGACGATGCAAAAAATGTTCGAGTCAAAGGTTCTGCAGACCGGCCAGGGCAGCAGCCTTGACTTCGGCAGGGTCTTTTCCCTGACTCAGCTCGGCTAGAACAACCTCACGGATCTTAGTCGCCACAGCCTTCCATGGCTTCTCCCTCACAGGCAGACACAAGATCTCTCTGCCTTGGGTCTTGATACCATACTTGTGGCGAGGCGGCTTGTAGTGGTTGATGTTGTAAGCCCCCACTGTAAACCCTCTGGGCCTCTCCTCCTCAGCAGCCTGTTGGTCTATCGGTGCAGGCTGCGCATCAAGATTGGAGCTGTCGGTGGCTGAGGATGGGGCAGCATGCTGGGCCACCGGTGCTGCTTTGGCGTGCTTCGCCGTCGGCTTGGAGCTTGGGGCAGCTGCTGGGCGTTTCTTGTTGGTGGACTTACTCTGACTCTTCTTCGATGTCTTAAGCAAAGCATTCGACATTTCGGTCAAATGCTGCGATCCATCTTTGAGTTTCGCAAAACAGAAGCCGTCTGGTCCATGAGACATCTGTGCAAGCTCGTAGGAGCCATCGGCATACAAACGAACTTCAGAAAGGTCTCCCGAACTGTAGTACTGATAGTACTCTGGATCTTTCACACCCTGGTTCGCTTCATCCTGGACCGAGACAGCATCTTCGCCCGACGAAACTGCGACGACACTGTGCGAACTTTGGACGTCTTCAATCTCGTCCCCCTGCGAAACCGAGACCTCCATGGAATCATCTTCCACTTCTAGTTGCTGCTTGTAAGCATTCTTGATGTCATCCTTACTCGGAAGAATCAGCGGCAACTGTGTCTGCATTGCAGCTGGCAACTTACCAGGTGACCTGTGTGCAGGTGGCCTGTCTGCAGGAGCAGGGGACGATGACGAGAGCGATCCGAAAGAGTGCACGCGACCAGGCATCCTCTCCTTCAGGGCAGTTACGACCTGCCTCACGGAAGGGTGTAGCTTGGGACCATCGCTGCTTTGTTTTTTCTTCAGGTGTAGGTGTTCGAGAAGCGAAAAGAGACGTTGCCCGAAACATTGTGCTTCGCTCGCAGAAAGAAGATTGGGCCAAGCTTCCATGGCAGAGCTTTCCAAGAATTTCGAGGACTTGCGACCATCACAGTGCATGATGTCCAAAGCCAAATCGCCGAACTTGTCACACAACAGATTCGGGTCCGGCTGCAGGTAGTCCTTCGACTCAGGACCACGAGGAAGGTGTTTCAGGAAAAGTGCAGGGACTTGCTCCTTGGCCGCCACCGCTCTACGATCTATATCTCGACTCTGTGAAACAAACTTGCGGCGGAAATTAAACGATCGTACAGGGCATGCAAAGCAAAGCTTTGTGCATGAAACGATGCATCGACCGACATCGACCCCGATTTTCGTGGCCGACCTTCCTCCCTCCCTCCCTCGGCCAATCCGTGCCTCGGTGATATGCTTCATCTATATATATATATGCCACAACAGGCGCTTAACAAGCGCTTAACAGATCAACAACAGGCGATTAATTTAAGAGCCTGTTAAAAGCATGAGCATTTAGCCCAATAGACCATTATTTTTAAAAGACTATTGGAGGGTCAGGGTATGGCTTCGCCCTCCTTCTGGCGCGAAGGACGCGTCTGTCCATGAAACCAGTTCCTGACTTCGGGATACCAGGTGTAATCGATGATCTGCCGTACGCTGGAGAAAACCCAAACACTTCCTGGTAATAGACGACGCTCTTCTCGGAGCTTTTGTTGTCAAAGAGGATATCAGGCTCGCTGCGTACGCGAGGTCCGTCCTCGACCTCTGCGACAGCCAAAGGATTTCCCCAGCATACTGCTGGGCTTCCCTCAACTCCGCTTCCGAAAACACAGCCTCCTCCTCTGTCGCAACAAACGAAGAGATTTCCCTTGACACCGGTATTAAATCCCGTTGGGTTCCCTTGACTTTGTGGATTCTGAGCAGCTCTGCGATATAGTCGGCCTGGGATATTGCAAAGCCGCCATCAATCTTCTCGATTTCCAAACCCAGAAACTTTATAGCCCCATCCGAAGCCATAGCCAAAGGACTCGTTGACCACAGCTCCTTTATCGACTTTGCAACGGCTGCAACAACTGGGTTGGTTGAGCAAATGAGGATGTCGTCTACATAAATCACGATCACTCCAATGACTGCAGACTCATCAACTAGCTTCCACCAACTGCTTTCCACGCGACATCTCACCAACGTCACTCTGCGACCCTCAAGTTCCACCACCAAGTTTGCCAACGTAGTGTCTCTGAACTCGCCCCACCACTTCGGGCTTTCTCTCAACCCATAGACCGCGTGGGTAAATTCCCACAATTCATGTTCTTCACAAAGGCCTTCGCGGACAAGGGCTCGAGGGGGTTGTCCAAAGACTCTAAAACGGCAAACCACTTGTGATAGTGGTGTTTGTAGAAAAGCACTAGTGATATCGATGACTCCAGCGTCCCAACCTCTACGGCTCGATATCGCCAAAGAGGATCTAACGACCTCTGCCGGAGCTGCGGCCGCGTAGTTGTCCTCCCCCGAAGATGCCATCATGTTGCCGCAGGCAACGATACGAGCCTTGCGACGAAACCAATCCAAGCTTCCTTCACTCGGGGGTTTGACAGTATAAACGATTTTCATTGGCACCACCTTTGCCCGACCTGAGAGAATGTCATCTGCCACTTGTGGATCCCGGGCACTCCTCTTGGTGACGGCATGATCAAACGAACTCATCTCTTTCTTCACCGCTGGAAGCCAGCTGCTGAAATTGTCCTGGGCCTCTTTGGGTTCAAACCGTGTGTACGATCGCCAGAGGAGAAGATAAAGAGTTCAGGAGGTTCTCAATGTTGTGCGTATACGTCACCTCCATCTTGCACATATTGATCGCCCCACTGGATGAAGCAATCTTTGCCTTTGGTACAAGATTGGGATCGCCTTGCTCCAACGGTAAAAACATATCCCAATGCTCCACTTCCTCCTCCTCTGCGAGCATAGCGAAGTCCCCATTGATCTTTTCTTCGTCACTTGAACTTGGCCCAGAACCACCCCCGGAATCACCGATCTCCTGCTCAAACCATGGCTCTTCCTCCACCTCCTTTTCGAATCTATCGTGCACCCTGGCACCCACTGACAAAGCCCTGAGCGCCACCTCTGGGAACACCTCCTCGGCTTCAGGTGGAATTGGAAAGCCCAGCCGACTCAAAACTTCACGATCTGATCCTGGCAATTTTCGAATCATTCCAGGAGTGTATGCGACCAGAACAATCCTCAAGCCTTTCCAAGGAAGTACTGCATGACGTCGGTGTGGATCCAAGACAGTGATTTGCCCTTGCTCCAAAGGAAGAATACACCCATAGTGTGGTACTCCGCGTCCATCCGCCATCTCGGTGATTTTTCCCCGAACGACATCACCACCAGTGAGTTCAACCCATAAACCCCCACCGCGTCGAGGCATAGCAATTGGATATAGGTAGTTGTTCTTCCCCATCATATTGTTGCTATCAATGTGCAAGTCTTTCTGGGAATTGACCGACACATATAGCGAGGTGAACTCCGCATCCGGGCATTTCGTCACAAAGAAGTTGGCAACTCACGTGCGATCAAAAGTTGCTTTCGTCAAGCCCACAGCACCACCATGCCTGAATGCCCCAAAAACTTTCTCGTTCGGCCCCAACATCAGCGCAATCTGTACACATAAGTTCTCTGCCTCCTCCTGCGACCAAGAACTTTTAAGCGCTTCAACCTGAGCCTTGAGATCTTCATCACTAACCACCGTCTGCATCTTCGAAACTGCAACCACATCCCCACTTCCAGCCGCCTTAGATCTCAGTCTTCGACTGGGTGGTCCAGGTAAGTCAGCTTCCAAAACATCCACCATCTCTGGCTCTGCAAAGTCCGTGCGAACGTGGACTGTGTGGATGAACTTTTCCGTGTCCTTGTCTGTGACATAGATGACGTGCCCCCGGCGCACCGTGTCTGATAAACCGAGGTAACATCCTTCCACCCACCTCGGCGCCAAGTCATCAGGTTTTCCTGGCTCAGCGCTGCCACCGTACTCTCTTTTTCGCACAAGAACTCGGGCACCGAATGGTGCAGCCAGCTTGGTTTCATACCCCAATGCCGTAGCACGCTGGGCCGCTACTGCCATTGCAACAGCCTGAGGCCACAGTCGCTGAGGCAACTTTGCACCATGCAACAAGGTACGCGCTCGCTGTTTAATATACTTCACAGCATTCTCCACAACGCCATTCTGTTGATGTAGGCCTCCTTCACTCGTCGTAAATCTAATGCCATGATACTTAAGCCACTGTCTTGTTGCTTTGGCATAAAACTCCATTCCACGATCGCAATGAAAGCGAAGAACAGGTATGCTGAGCGCACTGCAGTATAGAATAACGTCCTGTATCGCCTCCAATACTGTAGAGCTTTTGTTGTCGGGAATAGCCGTTGCGAATACCAAATTGACCAAGTCGGGACCAGTCATATCCAGGTCGTCCTCATAGCGATTGGGATCCTTCTTGGAGGACTTTTCAGCCTCCACTTCCGCCTCCTCCTGGACTGCATCATCATCTACAGGAGCTATAGCTTCTTCATCACCTTGAGGTACCTCGTCGAAGTCAAAGGCACCCTCGTCTTTCGGTCCTTCGCTGTCCAACTCACCCGGGTCATACTCAATGAAGGTCCCTCACCCATCGTCGACAAAGGTCTTTGGAATCCTCACCTTGGCCACGAACAAGTACTTGTGAGGACGGGGAAATGCACCGCGGGCATCAGCATCCAGACCAGGTACTTTCAACGGACCACTCACATCAGCACTCATTGTGAAGCAACTTGGATGCTCTACTCGAGCGTGTCGCCTGCCCGTTGCTCCTGCCATGACACACGTAAGGCAGTCCGCGCGATAAGGCAACTGTCCTCTTCGGACATGTTCTCGCCATTGGTCGGTGGACATCTTTAGCATTCGTGGCGAAAGCCTCTGAGCTCTCACCGCTATGGCCACATTCTCAGAGAACTCCTTGGTCCAAACGCTTGGGGGTGCAGCTTCTGGTGGGAACGGATCCAACTGCATTCTCCCTCGCAAACCTTCCAAGTGCCTCAGCGGTAGATTGGTTCCCACTGTGGTATGCCTTGCCAGCCTTTTTCCCAACGATGACATGTCAAACGAATAGGTTGTAAGGCCAGCTTCTTCAGCATAATAAAACCACATTGGCGTCCTCCAAAAACTGCTCGAGTCTTGATAGAAGGGGTCGCTGAACAACAAATATCCTCTCGGGTCTCTCGGTTGCTCCAACAAAAACCCTACCTCACAAACATCGCCAGGTCCTGGAGGAAACTTGCAACGACCAGCTGTAGCCAAGGCATGTAGATATATCATTTTCGCAAAGTAGCCGGTGTGCTTGTTCACATAATCCACCTCCGCTGCTGCTTGTCCTTCCCAGCCTCCATATGGAAAGTCCTCCGAGCGCAGAGCCTCAGGTCCAGGAGACATACAGCGCCTCAGCATAAAGGAATTCTGAGGTGGCCCACCAATGACTGATGTGATTCTCCCATGTCGTGCTCCCCACTCCAAAGCTCTCCACACCAGCGGGTCATTCACATCGTGAGATTTTCCTCGCTGTATGTCGAGCTCCAGAACCACAAACCCTTGGCGCTCCAAGAAAAGGATCTCATCATTCGGACGCTTCCCTGCATACAGATGCACCACCCACTGCGACGATTCCCACAATCTTTTGCGAGTCCTCCGGTTGAGATGGACCAAACCTTTCAGTGCATCCCATCCATTGGTGCACGGGGCTGCTTCTACTAGCCCTCGTAGAGATTGCTGTGGGACACCATCAAAGAAAAGGGCACCATCAATAGCCAAAAAGGCTTCCGAGCTCAAACCAGACTCACAGTACGCCAGCAGGTGATCAAACCAGGTTTTCTGCAAGGACAAAGCAGCCTCCCGGACACGTGCCTGGGTCACTTCAGTCAACGACTTCAGTGATTCCAACTTGCGGTCCTCGATCTATGAAATGAGAGACAAAGCTTGCTGTTCCGTGATTTCCGGACATCCATTGCGCACATGCAAGGTGATCACCTCTCCGTCCTTTCCGTAAAGTCTGCATCGAGAGCCAGCCCATTCTAGCCTGTAGCCAAGCATCTCCACCAACGACCCAAAAACAACAATTGGCGCTGCTGTTGACGCGCCTCCTCCCACTGTCGTCGGCGGCACAAGAAGCGTGCCCGCAGGATTCATCTTCAATTCCACTGTTTCTCCGCCAGCGAGGTTCACCATCACCGAGCTCCCGCGCTGCCATTCAGAAGCATCTTCAGCTCGACGTAGAGGATGAGTTGTTCCAGAGTCCACCAAAGCATAAATCCCACCTTCCTCAAAAGTAGCGGTAGTTGCTCCTCTCAGCGAAATCACATTGATTGTTGGCGACGTGGACGAAATAGGTACTGCTCCCGCAACCTTGGCTGCAGCTTGTAACAAAGACTCCCACGACAACACCGGCTGTCCAGGCGTAACCTCCATTACGTTGACTGCCTTAGGAGACGTTTCACCCTCTGGCTCAAGCGCACCCTTCGGAGAGGTAGTGGTCGTTGCCCCCGTAGGCGTTGATGGCTCCGCTCGAGTAGCCATCGATCTCGTCGGTGATGGCCTCCCTGTCTTCGTTGGGCAGTCCCTCTGCCTATGATCTTCGGCCCCACAGGCTAGACATTTTCGGGCTCGGTCCACTTTGGAAAGAGAGCTCATGTCGTGAGTGTACGGACACTTGGCGCCACGGCGACAACCTCCAGGTTTGAGGAAAAAATTACACCCAGGTTTGGAATTTCCTCCTGCCCCAGCATTGCCGCCTGTAGTTGTTGTCATCGCCTTCAAACTTGGGGACATTGCAGAGGGGGTAGTTGAAGCTGCCAAGTTTTCTACTTCTGCTTGTAGGTGCTGCTGGTACTTCAGAACATCGCTCAAAGACGGCTGCTGGTCTATACGAAGAGTCGCCCGTACCAGTTGCATTCGGAACATAGCATCGGGTACCTGGTTGATAGCACCACTAGTAAGGTTAGTCAGCCCTCTCGCAAGCACTGTCCCCTCTGGCACAGACATTCCCATGTCCTGACATCGCTGCAGCCATCTTGGCCACGACCTCAACTGCTTAAGACACTCATCAGTTGTCCCAGGTCGATCACCTCCTTGAAGACGCTGAAGAATAACTGAACGTTCACCGGCTTCTCCAGGCTGATAAAGCGTATATAACCGAAACAGCAATAGAGGCATGCTTTGCGTGGCTCTTCGTGCTATAAGATCTGTCTTTATAGCTTCTGGTATTGACTGAACCACCATTGCACATGCCCTTGCGTTGATCCTCAAATACTTGCCAGCCACGAGTTCCTGAGATCCGGTTGGCTCAATCCCCAGTCGCTCCAGCGGCGTGGCACCAAGCCACTGAGAGTAAGTTTGCACAACCATTGTTTTCACTCCTTCCCACCATATGCCCGATCTTGCAGACAAGTCTTGCATAGCTGTGGTTATTTGAACAAGCCAGTCTTGGAAAAGAAGCCCACTCTGATCGCCATCTGGAGGACCAAGAACTGGTAAAGTAGCCACACTTGTTTTTACAGCTTCTGGAACATCCTCCCCACCACTGTCTTTCTGCAACGACTTCAGCTGAATATCTTGAAGCTGCTTCATACTCTGGGCTAACGCCTCAATCACAGTAGCTTCACCGGTCGAAGGGATAGCCGACGTCCTTGCAGCTGGCTCCGGACGGAGCTCTTGAATCCTCTTAGGCGGAGGAGGCTGGTTTTGAGGAGCCTTGAAGACCCCTCCTCCTGATCCAAATTTCCCAGTAGTGCCGTCCCACAACCGGCTCCACGGATCCACACGCTGATCTTGTACCTCTCGTAGTTCCTGATCGTGACCTCTGGGAGCGTCTTGGGCCGCAGGTTTTACTAGAGGAACTTGTTCGGATACTCTAGGAAGTTGTGGTAGCTGTTGTGAAGATTGTACCTCCCTTGACCTCGCGCGTTCTTGCTCCAGCTCACACTGTAGGCGCACATTCTCGTCCTCAACTTCACGTAGTCTTCCTATAACCACGCCCATCTGTCGTTGCACCTCTGCTTGTATGGCCTTTGCCGGAACACTGCTGCTGCTAGGGGGAGTATTGTATGTAAACCCTTTTGGATTCCGCTGAACTCTGCCTCCACGATCCCTCTGCGCCTCCGCTAAGCCTGCACCAGGACGATCATCTGCAAGTTGTCGACGAGAACCTGGCGGCAACGGGGGTGAGGAAATAGGACTCGGAAGCCATGTAGGAGGGATCCCAGGCTGCTTAAACATCCCACTCAATCGCGTAACCCAGCCCGGCCACGCGGAAACTGGTCTTTGAGAGTTCACAG